CCCACAAGCCCATCATCCAACTCTCCTCCTCTTTAATTTGCTCACTTGCAGTTGTACATGCTGTTGATTTTGTTTTACTGTATGTGTAGTTCAGCAACATAAGTGTTAACTAAGTTTTTTTTTTTTTTTTTATCTGGGAGTAGGCTGTTAGTGAGGGGAGCTCACAGTTTGAAGCCACTGTGTTTCATTAATGTCTCTGTTGGCGGGCTGCACACCTCAGGCCCTCTCTAATCTCATCCCTGGGGAGGGGCAGCACTCCATCATGCTCTCAACAGAGAGACATATTGTAATGTGCCTATACATATTCTCTGGTGGCATATTTAGTACACCTAGCGGCGATTATGTGATGTACATTTAAATGATTTTATGACACTCTGCATGAAATGATGAACCAGCTATTTAAAGGTCTGTGAGCAGAGACTTAATGTATCAGCTCTTCCACTCGTTTGGAACTAAATCTCTCTGGGGTTGTTTTCTAACCTTTTCAAATATATTATTCATTGACAGTGTAGCAGGAGCGTCCTCAGTGGCAATAAAACAGGACTTAAGGATTGTTTCTCAGTTGATCACTGTGAAGAAAGCACATTACTTCACTCATTCACCTGCATGTTATTGGGCTGCTGCAGGAAATAGCCAGAGGAAACCCTCACAAGTGAGGGCCAATAGTCACAAGAAATGCACCGATCCAGGAATGCTTGGCCTTCATGTCACATCGGCTGTGTCTGAATTATTCACTGAAGTATACACTAAATTAGGAATTCTATGTAGATGATCAAATTATTTATTGGATCCATAAGCTGCTGTATCACAAAAAACAAAAACTGTTCCTGTCATTTCACCAGTCAACAAAATTTTCCAGTCTGGTGGTACACATGGTAGTGTTTAGCTTTTTGAGTTACTGACTTGTTTTATTTTGAATTCTGGGATGATTTGAATCCCCTTTAAATGTAAAGTTTAAAACATAACTGTATAGACACTATAGGAACATGTGCTAGCTTACTGTACATCTCTAAAGGTAATGGAGCATTTTTCATTGCTGCAGACACTTTCCTCTTAAAGTTGCTTCAGGGTTGTTTAAATCATGACTGTCTGAAAGTATTTTGTTTACACCGCCAATCATCTTGTTCCAGCTCTCCACTGACGCTATATGCTGTTTACACTGAAGAAAACATTCAATCCTAATATCCCATGTTTTAAATAGCTGCACTGTGTCATCACATGGAAATATTTTCACCAAAATTCAGCCAGACATATATTGAGAAATCTTTGGATCTCTATTCTTTAAAAGAAAGTTGTGTGCCTTTGAACAATGATTCACCATCCAGTGTGCAGTTTTAAATGACTCATTGACCCGTTGTTTTAACTGCTGTTTAGTCTTGTCTGTAAAGAATATGGCTCCATCATAACTTTTATTTTGTCTGTTACTCTTATTTATGTATTTAAAGGTCCAGTGTGTAGGATTTAGTGGCGAACTGCGGCATCTGTAGATAAAAACACCAAATTTTAAGGTAACAAAAACATAACAATTCCTATATTAAGGTCATTATACACTAATGAAAACATACATATGAATATTTTATTCCATTTCTGACAATAGATTATTGTAAATGTTACACACTGGACCTTTAAATTGTTCCCTCTAAAGCACTTTCTTTAAAATATGTTGTTTTTTAAATGTCCTCTATGTTAAATATTACTTTACCTGACTATAGTAATTGTCAGTAGACACTTGGCTAACATTATTTAAAGGGAAAACTCACTATACAGTGGATGATGTAGTCATTTAGAAGTTAACAGTAAATGATTTTGGACAGAGCCATTGTCTTTTTAACACTTCTCACCAACTCCTGGCTATATCACTACAGTAGTACAGATAATCTTGGTCCCTATCGTGATTTATAATGACCCCCATGAATGTTCTGGCCCTCGCCTACCTCCAGGGCCTCACCGTTTAACAAAAGCTCTCTGTTTCATCCCCCATTTACAAGCTTGTGACATGCACTCGTCTATCTCGGCTGTCTGATTAGCTCGGACTATTAGACTCTTCAAAACAAATGAGACACGCACACCCGTGCACAGTGGAATACTCACAGTCCATAAGCGGGCTCTCTAAGCTTTTATTGCTCTAGTAGATGGAGTCATGATAGTCAGTGATTAAACAGCTAAAGCATGGTGGAGGAAGAGAAAGACGAGGGAGAAAAGAAAATGACATAAATCCTTGCAAAGTCAAAATCATTACTCCTCTCAAATTAAATTAACTCTCTGTCTTCTATAATGCAATGTGATTTGATTCCGGCAAGTTAAGCTTCTTTTATCTCTCTGGGTCTGAGAAGTGTCCTACTGGCTGTTTTCCTATTAGGACGGGTGATAAAAGAACATGGCCCTGAAGGAAAGTGACAGCAATAATCAAATGGGTTGTTTATCCCAGTTCCAGTGGGTGACATTTGCTTTGCCCCAGCAGCAGGACATCTAACTAACAGTAATGCAATTTCCTTAGAGGAGATTGGATTAAAATGTTCCGACCTGATGAGGCTGTGGCTTCACAGGTCTGCATCAGACCCTGCTTTTATATTTGGGTCTCCATGTTTTCCATAAAGGACAGCTGTGCACTTCTGGCATTCCCTGTCCAAAATATGTTGATCATAGAGGAGCACAAGCTAAAATGCATGCATTGTTTTACAAGCGTCTTCTTTGCAACAGGCTAATTTCTTGCAAATGAGATCCTAAGGCAACATTTAGTCCTCTTTCATTTGTGCCTAGTCTCAGACGAAATGTCCAAATGTGTCAATCTAACTGCCTTTCTCTGTGACCCAACTTAAAGAATGAATGAAGTGTTTGTGAACAAATGAATGTGAACAGCTCGGGGCAGACTATCAGTTGACCGTAACCACGTTAGGTCCTAGAAGGGGCAGTATAAATGGGGCATTAGAAATCACAAGAAAAAGTCTTGGCTTAGAGGGCTTTGGAATGGGACTGCCATGGACTCGCATACATTCACATGCAGGAGGAAAAAAAATGTAGGTATGTGCGTCCTTGTTTAGCTTCCATGACTGAATATTCCACAGGGTTTTGATGTGCTTTTTGACATTCTGCATTATATATTCAGTTTGATATGAAAGCATTCACGTGGTCTAGACTCGTGGATTGTTTTTGCTTCTTCAGTGTGTACTGTAAGGCTTTTGCATGCATGTCTTTAAAAAGCGTGTCTGCCTGTCCAAGCATTCAGCCTCATGCTGTGTGACTGAAAAGGTAAAAGCCACAGTGCAAAGACTCTCCTCTTCTCTCCTCTCTAAGAGTTTTTTGTATTTATTTGCTAGGGAGTGCCACATTTGTAGAATTTATGGTATCACTCAAGCCCACCAATGCTAATTTGCACACACATTCACATTGGGCCTCTTCTGCAATTTGTCTTTTTGAAGCTCATTATTTACCAAATTCTTATTCCAAATGGTAATATTGTGTTTGTTAAATGACTTATAGTTTTTGCTGTTGTGTTGGAAAAGCTCTAATAATATTGTCTTTATCCAGTACATACAATTTGTAAAAAGCAATATTGCCAACAAACATAGTCTAATATTATCTTGCTGCTTCAGATGAGATAAACCTGCAGAATAATACTCCATAATCACTTATTTTTCCTGTTGAGATTTTACATTAAACGTATGCCAGCCCTCTATGATAAGAATTAGGTGAGCAAAATAGACACCCCCTCCTATTCAGAAGCGGTACTGTGACAGTGCTGTTCTGTAAGTTGCTGTGGGTAAGGGAACCATTGTTGAGCTGACAGTGTCCGCTGCTGGTTGGAGCGTTAACTGCAGTGCCTCCTGCAGCACTGCCGAGCAGGAGGCTTCTCTACAGCCACGGGACATAAACCGTGTTTGCATCCATAGCCGGAGAGGGGAGTCAGATGAGGGGGTGGAGGGGGAAAGGCACTTAACGACCGGTGCACATACCTAAGCATGACTTTAAATAACCAGGGCCATAAATACCCCTTAATGTGCATATGTAAGATAGTCTGTATGTAATTCAGTGGGCATATTATCAGTGGCCACCCGTGCGTTCCAACGTTATCATTTCACCGTTTTTCTCTTTTAAAATTGATTATATTCTCTGAAACGTTTTGCTGTAATGGAAATGAAAGGGCACTGATGTTCCTTCTACAGCTGTGTATCTGCCTGCTCAACCCATAATACCCATAATATTTTCTTACACCGTTACAGCTGGATATCAACAGGTGCGTCTGACATGCGGAGAGAGAACGCACACCAGAGCAATGCAATGACAACGCTCCAGTCCCCCGTGAGCCCAAATGTTAATTACAGCCGCAAACAGCAGATGGCTCTCTTGAGTTTTGATTTCCTGCCTGTGATTGAGACTTAGATGATATTTCCCCCAAAACAAAAATAAATAGGATCAAATATTTTGTCTCGCACTGGCTTTTATTGTGTGGAACGGAACATTTCCATTGAAATCCACCATCTAAATGGAGGGATAAGATTGGTGTGGATCTCCAGGTGCTTGTGGTTCACGTGAGATAACCCTATAGTCTCTGGTGGACGTTCAGGTATAGGTTATGATGAGCGTTTCCCTCCGTCATTGTGTAGCGCTGTCCGAGGTGCTGAAACCACACAGCGCAAACGGAGCGCGCAGCCTGAAGGGCAATTTTAAACAATATGAATGCGGCTCTTTACCACATGTGCAGCAACTAGTATGTCCCCGTATGAGCCAGAATATAGAGTTACTGTAATATACTTTTTTATTTATTTAAACCATGCACATTTGTTATCACTACTAGTTATCATTTCTGTTAGTTAGGTAAAAAACAAAGTGTTTCTTAGCAGCAGTCTAATTTTAAGGTAGATTTACTGTAGAGCCTGAACTGAAGCGTGCAAGAATAAAATCTTCCCATCTAACGACAGCATCAAGACCCGGCTGCTCATTCTCCCTTCAAGCAGGGGCTTGGTGGTCGAGAGGGAGGGAGAGGGGGGAGGGCATCCTCTCCACTCAGGCGTGTACTAACGAGTGGTTAGGACTTGTTGATGGGAAGGATTTGTTGATCTGGGGGTATATAGACCACCGCTTCCTTTTTTTTCTTTCAGCGTGGGAAAATGCATTGTGCTGTGTATCAGTGGCGTTATGCTCTCCTTATTCCCTTTACGCACTGATCGCCATACATGCATCTCTCTCGCTGTGGGCTCAATGGGGAAAATCCACTGGGTGGAACTGTCTGCCGATTGCCGGCGGTTTTTAAGTTTATATATTTGTATGCAGCTTGTCTCACAATGCAGACGTCATCTCCACTGGATTTAGATCAGCTTTGGTTGTCTTTTTTCCATCGCGCCCCGCCGCCTGCGTTGTGATTGTGGAATACAGTGAAGAAAATCCGTTTTTGAGAACGTTATCCCGGCAGATCGGCAGGTAGTTGGAATACAACTTTCAATTTAGCCCGCTGCATCAATTCATAACTCTGCTACGGTTGCGTCTTTTCTTTCCGTCTCCAAAATGTGCGACTGTTGATCGGTCATCGCAGGGTTGCTGTCGCGGATTGCTTCAAGCAAACTTGGGAGTTCGTTTCGCCCGGGCTGCTGCGCCTTCACTCGAGCTGTGATCTCCGTAGGAGGCGCCTGCATTTCCTTGATTGCTGGCGGCACACATGCACAGGCGTCCCCACCGCTATACCCAAACAGCGACTTCTGACAGAGCAACCGTCGTCTGGCAGAAGGAGGAGAAAACGCAGGGCGAAAGGAGGAAAACAGTGGCTGAATGTTTGCTGTGAGGACGCTGCAGCCGGTATTGGACATTTAAGGAGGCGATGCCACTGAACATGTCACAGGCAGTGAACAAAAACATCACTGTGCAGGTATGAATAATCCACTGAAATCTCGGTCCGCGTGAGTTTGGCATAGCTCTTCATCAAGACTATGGTTATTGATGCATGTATGGAATTACGCATGAACTGATCTCATTTTTCCATCATGTCCAAGAATTTTTTGAGTGATGGTGACAGCTGTTTTAAAATCGCAATTATCATGTAGTATTTGGACAAACAAGAAAACCAGCTCCTAAAAACATATATATATATTTGACATTTGACATCACGGAACGGACCACTTAGCCGCCACCATGGGACTGTGACCCGGGCTGCGAGCTCTGAGAGGCGGCTGTTTGTGTTGTCTGTGCTCAGTGTGCAGACTGGACCTGAGCAGTTGTGACATTTTGAGCCATGGCTGCTGCTATCGCAAGTGGGCTGATCAGGCAGAAGAGACAGGCACGGGAGCAGCATTTAGACCGGCCCTCGACCAACCGACGGAGGAAGAGCCCCAACAAGAACAAGGGGCTCTGCAATGGGAACCTGGTCGACATCTTCTCTAAAGTGCGCATCTTCGGCCTCAGGAAGCGGAGACTACGGCGACAAGGTCTGGGAACTTTAGTGTGCAAGGTGCCTGCTTTGTTGGCGTAGAGCGTTGTGCATTCAGTGTGAACATGCATACATGCAACCACTGGTTGACGACTCTAATTAGGCCTTCAACAATCACAATTACATTGCCACCCATGTGGTGGAAATACACAAGCTAATAAAACAATGAAAGATACTTGTTTATTACTGATTCCACAGACTTGCCAAATTGCACCTCAGTGCGTAAAAAGTTCGGGGTTTTTTTTGGGGGGGGGCATTCTGTTTGGTACATCAGACATCAGCCGGTTGGGTTGAAAATAACAAACCTGCCTCTGATTTACATGCAATCCCAGGTAGCTGACAGCCTCCTGACGAGTTGTACCAAATGGTTTCGACAGGTTTACCGAGCTGTCACCTGGCGGCTCTGAAAAGGGCCTGATCGTTATGAAGCACTCACATGATTGGCTGAAATGCTTAGTACATAGGAACATCACAAAAACCAAGAAATGAAACTCATTTATATGCAAGCAAAAAGGTCAATATCTCCCAGCGAATGGAGGTTACGCCTTTCAAACATAAGCTTTTCTGCATAATTGTAGGAATTGGTGGGCCCACATGGCCTCTTGTTGCTCCAGCTGATATTCGCTCCACTTATGAAAATGTCATGAACATTTTTACTCTAATGTGGCAACCTGGAAATGTTAAAGAGCATTGTCAACAATTATTTCACTGCTGGAATCAGTGCCAACTGCGAGGATAATTTATTTTACAAAAATGAATCAGGATAATTCATTTAGGAAAGAAATTACTCCCAATTATTTCCCCCTGTTAGTGAATGATGGGAAGCGGCTGTGTGTTCCTCTTGGAATCATCAGGTATCTAAACCTGTTGCATCAGACACACTGTAGCGCCAATGATTAAACACCATTTTTGCATAATTTGAAGGCAAACTTGCATTACAAACAGCATTTTTTTTAACAAAGCCTCATGGAAGTGTTTAGTCTTTCATCTTGTTCACAAAGAGAGCCATTTTGATAGCTGAGTCTCTCATTCCCTCACTGTGTTCATATTGGAATTGAACAATACTGTGAGTGAAAATGTCCCCCTTCACTATAGCTCTTGGTGATTACATGGATTAAAATGACTTTGATATAACAGGATCTATATAATAGCATAGAGGCAACATCTGGACATGGGTCAGGTGGCATCAGAATGGCAGGTTATAATCGGCTATCCTCCAGGCTACTGTTTCTGCTTCTGCCCACTGTGTGCATGTGTTAGGATCTGTGTGTGTGTGTGTGTGTGTGTGTGTGTGTGTGTGTGTGTGTGTGTGTGTGGCTTTCCCAGTGTTAATTGTCTGTCCTCCTCTGTCACCTCCAAATTGGCTCGTGGCGTATTTATCTTTTCATTTGAAAATCAGTAGTGTCCTGCAGCCCCCACAGCGGAGACGTAGACAGATGATGCTGTCATTTGGTCCGGGTAATTAACGTCTGGCCATGCTGAAAGCCTAGAAAGCTACGTAAACTGGCTTTCCTTTCTGGTGTGGTGTCTATTTTAACACGACATGAATGTAAACGATTGGGATTTTGCTCAGATGAATCTGTGTCAGACATGTGGATGCCAAATCAACCTGCACTGGCAACCCCAAAATGACTTCACACCTGCAACGGCCATTTTATAGAGCAACTTAGAGCCTCCCAGAGCCTCAGAATAATGATGATAATCCACAGTAACACTGCTAGCACAAGTGTCAGTGAACTGTGTCGTGAAGCTTTAAAAACAAACCGTGGCCCTGCTGGCTTGAAGATGAGAAACACTCCCACTAAAATGAAATTAAAATTAAGGGGGAAGCTGTTTTAAAATTGGTATTTTGTCCTCATTTTGTGGCTCTAATCAGAACACAGGGCAAACACTCTGTTTTCTCTTGCGTTAATTTTGTGTAATTTGTGATTAGAGGCCTAATGGGAATATAAATCATTAATTTCACCCTCACATGAGAATTAGGAAAATCTTCACCAAGCAATATCAGGCTTTGCTGTCAGGGAACTGCTTTGAAAAATACCCCACATCCCACCGTTTCTCCCCTCACCCCCCACACCTCTCTTACACACTTTACTTCTCTCCCTGCTTCTTTCTTATTCGCTGTATTATCACAAGAGCACACAGCTTAGGAAGAGTAATGGCTTGTTTGGTGTGCTTAATTTAATATTGGTCCCCGGAAGGAGTTTTTTTTTCATGTGAGTGAACAAAGTCGCCCGCACCACCGATCATATGTGTTGTGATAACACAGGCAGACACACACAATCGTCTTCGTTTCCCAGGTGAGAAAGACACTTGGCTTCCCTGTGACAGCTGAGCCTGCGGAGAACACAGCAGCTTTCTAACCATCCAGGCTATGATTATACATTGAAGTCAGATTCCCTCTGAGATGTGTGAAGACGAGGGAGTGGAGGTGTTTGAAATATACTAGTATATGCTAGTATTCCCTTTGGCTTTGAGTATTGATCTTCTGAGCGAGACACTAGATTAGCTATTCTTATGGGCTATATTGACTGACACTGACGTGAATGGTGCTTTTGAGTAACACCGTTTTGGTCAAATTCAAAGAAAATGAATAAAAATGATCTAAAATCAATAGTAATTACCCTTATATTTAGTTTGACTCAATTTATTTTTCAGATGTCATTATCATGGCAGGCCCCGCAAAAAAACAGAGTACCCATAGACCTAGATAAACAACACAAAGTCTGAAAAAATTATTTTCCGTCTTGTCTTCCATGTTCATTAGAATGCACAGATGTGGTTTCCTGTCCTTGTCCAACACTTGAGGGAATACGCCGGGAACACTTTGTGTTTTCTCTGTCACATCAGCTTTAATTTTAAATCATCCATGCATTTTGATAGCAGATGTGAAGATCACACAGATTTTTTTAAGGGATTAGATGTGGGTTGTAAATCCTATTACACTCAAACCCAGTAACTGAGCTGCGGGCACAGCCAACTGGGGCTTGCCCATAATCTCACTTCTCTGGCTCTAATTATCCCACTAGATTAGATTCATAGATCATTAGATCCTGTTACATAGATCAGACCATTAGATTAGCTTACATGATCTAGAAACCCATTTGAAATGAATGCTTTCCTGCACCGCTGCTGTTTATTCAAGAGTATGTTGACAGGGCACAGCAGTGCGTCATCGTCCAGCTTCCAGAGCAGTCCGTATCAGATGAATTATTGTTGGGATGTCAGAGATGTTGTTGATGTAAGAGGAATTGGAAAAGGGTGGTGTTGCTGTAGCTTTCCTTTGCTTGATCTACTTTTACATGACAACAGAAGCAACATAGAGGGGGTTTTCCTCCACAGGCTGGAAAAGCCCTTCACCAATTCCAGAAACGTTCAAAGTGGGTCAGGCAGGGCAGGGCTGACAGCAGTCTGCAACTGCTGCTGCAGCTGTGCCTGTGTGTGGGTCCTTATATTCTGTATACACAGACAGAGGAATGACACAACAGAAAATAAGACAGGAAGAGAACGAGGGAGCTGTAGAGTGGCCACTTTAGAAAAAAAAAAAAAGAAATCACAACCTTTTTGTGACGGATACATTTATATGCAGAGAGGACTTCTGCTGCAGAACAACAGGATTTGAGATCTTACGGTTCTGATGCTTGTTGTTTTCCAAGGAAACCCCCTGCTGCTGCCAAACCAACACTCTGTTTCCCTAGAAACAAAAGAAGTGGCATGTAGAAACATGCAGTGCTTTTGTTGTAAAAACTAATACCAGTGCGACTGGAAAAGTCCAACTGCAGCATAGGTTGAACACTCCATTGGTGATAAACAGCACCGTTGTTTCATCATTTGGGTGTGTTATAGAGGGAGAACACTCAGAGATAGAAAAGGAGAAAGAGACAAAAAGATGATGAGTAACAGAAGAAAGAAGGCAAATGAGTCAAGGACCGTCCTGACTTAGGGAATTCCACAGAGACATTTTCAAAGCAGTCCTGCGTTTTTAGGAGTGCACACATCACATCAGGCTTGTCTGACAGAACTGAAAACGCTGTGTCATTCTAAAAACAATTTCCTACACATCTTAGCATTCATTTCATACTCCCCCCATTGTCATATGCCCTTTGTCAGAGTTTCATAAGATCATCCCCTCATTCTGATTTGATAAACTGCCTCACTTACTAAATATTTTATCGTAGCAATGTTTTAAAAATAAGAGCGTGTCTCTGTGCTGTAAGTAATGATGAGGCATAGTTGACCTAAGATCCATTTGAAACATTTTATCTGTTGGCCGTGAGTAAGTTTGACCTTCAACATGAGTTGTATCAATGGATTGCAAGAATTACAAAATCCATTATGTCACTCTAATGTATGCACTAGCATGCATGGATGTCTGATGTGAAACTGTCAGTCATTAATAATACATTTATTGCATGTTATTTGAGGACATGATGGAATTTGGGACACCTTCAATCAGACACCCCACAGAATAGGATTTTATGTCAACAATCATCTATTATTGAAACTTCCTTCACACATTTTTCCATTGCTTTATGAGAATGCTTCGATCCAGTTTTATTCCCATTTGATAAATTAGCTAAAATGTTACAGACTTCGGCTCGCTGTTGCTGCAGCTCAGAAATTCTCGAAGCTCGAAACTGGAGGGGGAAATGTTAGTGTGTGTGTGTGTGTGTGTGTGTGTGTGTGTGTGTGTGTGTATGTGAGAGAGATATACTGGCTGGCTCGCCCAAGGGAACACAGCGAATATTACATGATTTATAGCATGATGGAGGAGCCAAGTTCACCTACACACACACACACACACACACACACACACACACACACACACACACACACACACACACATACTCTTATACACTCTTACACAAAGAGGGAGTATTCACACAGCCAGCAACCAGTTATGCAGTTTTAATTATTACAGATTGCCCCCCACAGATCTGTCTTCAGAATCAATCTCACTGCCGCACATTGTTTAAATGCTGCTGATCAAAGTCATTAATCGATTGCAGGTTAGCCCGACTCTGTGTGGCAGCACAAGAGTATTTGCTCAAGGGAATTGTGCAGCCATTAAAAATTCATGTGAAATTGTGTGTGTACAGCTTGTGTTTGTGTGCATGTGTGTGTTTCTGTCTCGTGCTCTCCCTGTTGTATGAACACTCGCCCATCTCCCCCATCACTAGTTTGTGCTCTTGAGCTTATACAGTATGGTATCTGATTGCTGGGTACTTACACATTTGAAAGCATAATAAATCAATTAATTTAGCCATGTCCATTATTATATCCCACTGCATTTGCATTGGCTGGAACGCTAAGAAATAATGAAAAGAGAAGTTAAGAGTGATACAATAAAGGCAGTAGTGCATTAGAATTTACTTTTTTCCCCCCACTCTGATACATTCTCAGTGGCTTGAGAACCATCTTTTAGTCTTAAGATTAAGTGTCTGGTATATGAAGTACAGAAGTGTGGAAACATTTCATTTAGCTGACTGGTTAATCAGTGGTTCCGGGGGTCTCTAATGTGAGATTTCTATTGAATTAGTTAAACGAAACAAGACATTTGGTGTCGCATTAGCCTCAATAAACTTGTGATGAGCATTTTTTTTTTTTACTATTTTCAGACATTTTATAGACTGAACTATAGAAGCCCTTTACTGCCATAAATGAAAAAAAAAAATAGATAAAAAGTTAGTCATGACAAAAGATATTCTCCTGGTAATTAAAAATTCAAAGAATAACTTTGACTGGCAGAAATGGGCTTCTATTTTAAGTTAAACACTTAATCAGAATAATAATAGTTACAGCTTAATTGTAATGAAAATTTTAGTTAGTTGCAGCCCTAACATGAATTAAGAAGTATTCTAAGACAATAAAGGGATGTTATATCCTGTTCACAAATGAAAGAATCCATCTGTGTGTCACTCATGGAAAACACGTACTTTATCAGATATTAGGCACAGCAAACAGAGAAAGGATAATGTCTTCACAGTGACATCTGTTTCCTACTGAAAGTCTGCAACACATGTGACTGCACTGAGCATTATTGTAAACCAGAGAGACGCTGTCAGGGTCTTGTCAGTCTGCTCAATGCATGGCGGAGGTACTCTGTCAGATTCTGCTTTAGCCACCTTTTTCATTGTTCTGGTGAGGCAACAAAGCAGCATTGTTGAATGCCGTTGAAGCGATATTGCTCAGAAACACCAGCACAGAGGCATTCTCTCCCCTTTTCAGGCAGCAGTGAAAGGTCTCAGAGCAACCTAATGCCATCACCCAACAGAGCCATTTCAGAAGAGACTGCCTTGAGCTGTACACCGACAGGAAAAAAAAAGCCTCTCTCTGCCCTCAGCAAGACCTCTTGAGTTCTCCTCTGTGGCTGTGCTCTCTCTTCTTTCTCTCTTTTTCTCTCCCTTTCTCTCTCTCTCTTTCTGTCTGTCACACACGCACGCACGCACGCACGCACGCACGCACGCACACACACACACACACACACACACACACACACACACACACACACACACATAGTTGCTTGCAGGGAGCATGGTTTAGGCTCAGGTGAAGTTGATTATTCACCTCCCCAGGGCTTTCTTAGAATGAAATCTAGTGTGATGGCTGTCTTCACAATAAGACTAATGTTGATGGTATATGACCCCAGTGGTTGTCCATGTACACACCCAAACGCACACACACACAAATGAAGAAATATTGACGCACGGCTTTAGCACAAACACTATTTTTCCAGAGGCATCCCAATGTGCAGTCACGTGCAGCTTTATAAAACTCCCTTTAAATTTTCCATTCCTTTCCTTTTTACATTTTCATGTTTTTCCTTGTTATTACAAACCCACAAAATGCCAACTAAATTGCAACAGGACTTTTTGTCTGCTGCAGTGATGCTGGGCAATTTAACTGTAGCAATGATTTATTTACAGTAGATAGTGGCTAATTCCCCTGTTGGGCCAGCTGGAAGGGACCGAGCTCAGACGCTTTCACATCCTACACACACTATGGACCCAGAGAGGGTGCTGTTGGGTTCATTATTGGAGTCAGGCGACCACAGATTAATTCTGCTGCCTATAATTGGATGGCCTATCTCTGAGCAGGGCAGGGCTTATGTGCCCAGAAAGTTGGCTATGGGATTTGCCTGTGAACATACACAGGAGTTAGTACTGTAAAATAGTCGGGCACAGTGTACAGTTAAAACCCTCAGAAAACAACAAGTTAAATATCTTTGCTATATTAAAGCATACTGATTTGCAGTAGCAGTCCTTGTAACACTCATTATTTTACTAATTGCTAATGTTTTTCCCTGTTCTTTATTCCTCTTTCTCTTCTACAGATCCCCAGCTCAAGGGTATAGTGACCAGGTTATATTGCAGGCAGGGTTACTACTTGCAAATGAACCCCGATGGCTCTCTTGATGGGACCAAGGATGACAGCAGTAATTCCTGTGAGTACCTTGACAGTTTCTTTTGGCCTTCTAGATCATTCATTTGATAGGTGTCTAGAAACATTTGATGAATTGCTAACAGAGGACACTGTGAAATATAAATCAACTATTAGTATTATTGAAAACTGCTGAGTTACTGTTGCTTAAAATCTGTATAGTCTCCTCAAGCACAAATGTTGTTTTCCAGGAAGTGCCTTGCTCACTTCCTGGTCTAGATAGATCCCTGAGGTGCAGGAAATTAACCAGTGACCTTCCAGTCACGCTTCTCTAACCTTCAGGCCAATTCCTTCCCTCATTTTTCAGGCTTTAGAGCAAAAATCTCTTCTCAAATGGCAGCAGGTATAGGATCACACTGATTTATCCTCCTCTCTGAGGGGGAAAATGGACCAGGAAACAGTAGGCTTAGCGGGCAGAAGGGGTATTATTAGCTTGATCTGGCACTGCTCCTCTAGCGCTCCAGGCTAGGTGGTTAATTTGATTCCAGTCCTTGGTGTTAACTCTAGGCTGACACTCTGTATTGTGTCACTTACTTCTGTCAGCATGAGGAGATGTGGCACATGTCACATCTGAAAGGCTGCAGGGACCTATTGAAACAGTGGGCAGTGCATATTGTGTTCACAGAGGGATATATCATATCATTAAAACTCCTAAATCAAGTCAAGTTCTGGCCCTGACTGCTCCACATTAAAAGTAACATTTTTGAAATTGGCCAAAAGCCCCCAAAAAACCAGTGGCCACGTTGTATTCTCTCAGCCTTTCCCAGGCTCCAAATCTGCCAATACCGATTACTTATAGGGTCAGTAGAAGTCATTAGGCGCCTTTAAGTCTCCTATATACACACACTTAATGTCACAGCCAGGCCAGTCCTGTTGTTCCTCACCAGTACAAACAACAGCCATTACCTACCGAGCCTAAGGAGTCTGCTACAACAACAAAAGGGCTATTAGATCTGCCACACACCACTGGTGGCCCCAATTACAGCCACTTCTCAGGTAGCTCTGGGTGGCGGCGGCTATGCTAGGCGATGCTGCAATTTATCTTCAGAGATTACCTAAATGCAACAGCTAGCAATTGTATTATACATGCTTTGTGAAGCATTAATGATAGGCAGCTTGCATTTGGATCATGAATTACACTATGTTTTTTCTCACTGTATTTAATGTTCACTTAATCTTTAGGTCTGTCGATGGTAATGATGTTTGGTGATTTGGTATTTTTATGTATGTGTGTATGCCTGTTCACGTGTGTTTCAGCTTTGTTCAACCTTATTCCTGTGGGCCTCAGAGTTGTCGCCATTCAGTCCGTGAAGACAGGGTTATACATCGCCATGAACGGGGAGGGCCATCTGTACACATCAGTAAGCAGGCTATTCTATTCTACTGCATGTCTTGAAGATGTACTTGATTATGTTTCAACATAAGTGCATACAAAAATCTGCATTACACTCAGCCACAATGCATTATGCTAAATATGCACTCTGATTTAAGGCATGTTTGTGTCTGTACTGTGTGTGTTTTACATATGAAAACTAGATATTCACGTATAGATAGTAGATTGTAGATAAATTCATCAACTCTGACGGCATGCAAGACACTATTCCCAATAAGGGGCCCTAAACATGTCTCAGATATTTACCACATTTGCAACAGGATAATTGCATTTCTCTGAAGGTTAGGGATCCCATTAAGCAGAAATTCATGCATACATGTTTCTATTAATCTGCTTAATGCTCCCCAGAGTTTTTTTTTACCATGTAGGAAAAAAAGCATTTATATCAGGTGACATATTTTGCTTTCATGCTCTTACACCGTATATCACACAGTGTCAATATTAAGGTCTATAAAAGTGAATTAGATGTATGCTGCTGGCTGAGGAATGCTGTGACACATTTGTTTAGCATAATGTAAACCATACTTTAAAGTAAATGAAATGCAGAGCTGTTTCTGACCAGAGTTAGGACATCTGAAGAGCAGCCAATCTTTTTCACTTCGTAGTCACCCACTGTTATTGACTACCTCTCTTAAAAATAAACTAGACTTCTTCGGGCAAGACAGCCAAGAGGGTGATAAGACCTTGCCCAGCACAGATAGTGCTTCCAGTCTCACTCCCCTTACTCTGTCCTCTCCCAGTCATTCCAGTCAATCAGTTGGAAGAGCACTGAGAGTAGTGCTCCTCTCCCAGACAGCAGTATCCATCAGAATCACTGCCCCTTCCTCCATCTGCTGCCCTCTTGTTCCTAATCCTCAGAGCGCAAAGCAGGAATTGCCATCTTATTCTTCATTCATTACCTTGGAGGTTTAGAGGGGCTACTTCTCTTACTGTACAATGCGCCAGTATTCCAGTGGAATTCTATAATACTTAATCACTGCATGACTTAAGCCGTCAAATGAAATTCATTTGAGAAGGATTGACCTAAAATCCTATGGATTTTGTCAAGGAATTGTATGGTGGGGATTATGAATTAATATATTCTATGGGTGCACTAAACTGCAGAACATACAATAAGGTATAATTTGTATGATTGCGCATGATCAGTTTCCCTGTTGGACACAAAATTTATTGTAGCACCATACCTTGAAATGTAGAGCTTCAAATGTTATGTTCTTGTGGATTTTCAGACCCAACTTTAAACTTTTAATGTATACACTTTAAGGAAGTTTGTTTTAATTCATTTATCTAATCTAATTCAATTCAATTAATTCAACCTACTGTACAAGACAATAAAGGCCAAAAGCTAACATTTGGACAAACATTAAAACTTAAAAAAATAAAATAAACTAAATAAAAAAAGGTTCAAATCAGCCTTAAGTCTTAACACAAGAATGGGTGGAAATAAACATAATTTTATAAAATAATATATATATATATATATATATATATATATATATATATATATATAATATAAAGAAATAATGTTGCATGTAAAATAAAGATAATCTGTTTGTGTGCTTCAGTGCTTCCTGTACAGATCTGGTGCAGATATTTGCGTTAGAATCTGTATTATTAATAATGCCCAGTATATAGATGCATAAATCGTTAAAACTGTGTACATGCACAGTAAATCTCAAGGTACTGTATGTACATTACAAAAATAGTAGTGGGCATACAAAATCATGAAATGAATAAAGGACCTCGTCCACACAGATAATCTGTGTTTGACATATGTTTATGTGATTTTGCTACTCTACTTGTCACATTCAATAACTGTGAGTTGTTTCTGGCGCCTGAACGTTGATCTCCAATGGTTTGGCGTCTCTGTAGTAAGCTGACAATTACTGCTGTGAAAACTCACATCCAAGTGTTGATAGCCAGATCTGTTTTAGAGCAGATAAATACTGCTATTTGGCATTCAAGTTAACCTACAGCTTGCAGCAGCGTTTGTAACTGTGATATTACGTTCAGAAACATTTTGTCATTTAGGGTTTTTGTTGTTTTGGCCACAAGCTAGCCACTAGACATGTTTAGTCCAGGCAGAAGTGCTGTGAAGTGGACCTTGTTGAGCCCAGTCGGGGCGTTGTGTTCCTTCAGCACAGTTTGCCCTGCTCCTCTCTTCAAGCAGCTCCCCTGCTCCATTTGCAGCTTATTTCTGTGCTAATGGAGGTTCTGATCAGACCTCAACTATCCAGCCACCCACTCAAAGGTCTTTCTTTGCTCCGTAGTGTGTGAATTACTTGGGTAATGGCAGCCTTGTAAGATGTTCCTCATCCTCCTCCATCTCCTCCTCCCTCTTTCTTTCTGCCTCTTCTCTTCTACTCTGTAAGCAAGGTACAACCATTCCTCCCATTATCGCTCTGTTTCCAAGATCGTTTGCTAGCGAGGATCTGGCAGTCGACCTTTTCTACCCATTATGAGTATTTGATTATAGAGCACTCACATTTTCAGAAACTACTTTGAAGGTTATATTAATGCAGGAGAACATGTTGATTTGGAGTTGGTCTGTGCACACAGCATGTAGGGAAAATCAGCAAAAAAACAACCTGTTTTTATTGGAAGAAGTATTCTTTCTCAATATGGCATCATTTCCCTGAAGCAAAGCCATTTTTATTAACTAGAATTCAAGTCACTTGGTCAGTTGTTATTCTTTCACAATATTAAATATGAAATACATTACATAGGCTTTTGACGTACTTTGGTAATGAATGACATTCAATTTTAAAACAGATGAGGTGAATCAAAAGGAGAGCCCCACTCTTTCAGGAACTAGATGGAAAGCCCATTCAGGGCTTCTGGTAGTGCATCATATTCTTTTGTGTGAAGCACCCAAGGCGCAGCGTACGGCTCGAATGACAGAGATAGAATCAAAGTGACTGTGCAGCCTGGTACAAAGGACACACCATGGAATAAAGGAGAGTTCAATCATCTCAACCCTTTTTAATCTGCTCTTTTTGTATCTGAGCCAATAAACTCCCGGCTAATTTCTCCTCCAGGCTGCTCCCTGGATCGGGTATTTCCTCTGAAATGTAATAAGAGGAAAGGAATTTCTCCTCTTGCTTGTTGTAGAAGGTAGGGGAAACAGGCTTTGTGGCAATCCCTAGATAACTGTAATAAAAGTCCTTATACAAAACCAGACAAATTCAAATGAGATAAAAACATAAAAATCTTAATTATTCTGTAGGGACTATGGTATTAAATCCCTAAAAGCAAACAAGGAAGTCTTGAGTTGTATAGTTTTGTTACACATGATGAAATGATGGTATCAGAGAATGCAACTCCCTAGTGCTGATTTTGTTGTTTTTCTGTCCTGCTAATACAGTCTCCTACCATCTCTCCAGTGTAAAGGTTGGGCATTTCATGGTTGCCTGGTTTTCTTTAGAGCTAGTTCCCCATTCCCTCACTTCACTGGAGTCTCTCACTGCAGGCTGTCTGTATCAGGAGTCTGCACTTGTTAGTGCTACCTTTCATGATTGTCAAATTGACTTGCCACATCACTTGAGTGGTCCTTTTAGAAATGCAATCCTTGAGAGGGCCAATCTGGAGCAGTGCAGTGGCTTTAGCTTCACTTGTTGGAGGCTGTATCATCAGCCGTATGAACACAGAAGACTAAGTGCATCTGTTTCCTGTAGTGCCCAATACAGAATGTATGAAAGCTCGAAGGAGCTTGACGTGAGGTCTCCCCCTCAGTTTGTATCAGTATGAAAATGAAAGTGCATGGCGCCTGTGTGTAGGGAAGAATAGAAAAGAGCAGCTTATTCAGGAGTCGGTGGTGTGAAACCAAGAGAGTCCTATGAGAAGGCTCAAGCCACGACTCCCCCGGGTTGGGGCATTTGATATTTTCCCACCAACATTCTTATTAATCTTTTAACCTCATAGGCCGTTTTTCTAATGCTGCTCTCAAATGTTCTGCCTATTTGGGACACCCCTCCTACAGATGCCCTTTGCTCCCTTGCTTTCATCTTCAGGTGTCTTGCAAAGACATGGCATTTCATAGGTGGAGAATTCAGTTCCACCTCATATTAAAACGACCTTTCAGTTAGAGATCACAGAAGATTAGGATATTTAAAAAAAAACAATTTGAGATATGTGCACTGCACATCCAGGCTTATGTTATATCTTCTTAATCTACTGTATATGCATCCCTTTTATTCATAGATAAGCTTATGATTCGCCTAGTCACACGAGCATAAGCAGAGGAATCATATCATTTCATTCGCTGCAGCCCAGTAAATCCTCACTACTCCATAGTTTCATGTTCAGCTTGTGAACAAACTCATGCCACTGATCAATATCATACGGTCTGTACAGTGCTGACCGTTTAAGAGAATGGAGATGAAGACAATCCAAAACAGAGGCATCTGGCTCAGCTTATGAGCTGAGTTCCACCGGCCACTTTTATATAACTCTGCTCTGCTGCAAAAGAGGCATGATCTGCAGACAGTTAGGAAACAAGGTTCAGTGTAAAAATGCTATTCTAGCTATATACTTGAAGCATATGGAGAGAATAAATATAAACACATGAACATCAACAGAATTGTGACACTTCTTCACAAAACACCATGTGAGTATGAGCACACACGTGTGTGAGTGTTTGTGTTGTTGTTGTGTGTGTGTAGGCTACATGCAGCATCAGTGCCCAACAGATGGCTTTGTGTGAATATGTTTTATTGGTGTTGAATGAATGAAAAATGAAAACGATCTTTTTCACACTTTCATGGATGTTTTTTGGAAGGAGAAACAATGAAGATGGGGCATCAGGGGCAGTCTTTTAATGCTAATGGAGCCCCTGGCATTTAGATGTGAATTACTTACACATGTCAACAATCAATAGTTGGATTTTCACACTTTTGAAAACTTACATAAAACGTATGTAATGAAATGAAAAAAAACAAAAAACATTTGCAACAACTATAGTGACAGTGA